CTTGTCAGTTTGTTAGTGTTTGAGCGCTTAATCAGCTGCTTACACTGTATGCTTCCCGGGAAGCTGAGAATGTTTCGGAGTGTTCTGTGGTCTGCTGGGTTAATAATATAGTGTAAAGCGCATAGAGCCTGCTGTTGAGCGGGGATATGCGCTATACAAATGCTATTTATTATTATTATTATTATTATTATTATATTGTCGACTGTCTTCTGCAGGGCGGTGTCCCCAAAGATGCTGTATTTGGCAGTCACGACCTCCACGAGGTCACCATGTACTACCCCATGAGGTCCGTCCGCACCAAAGACTATCACCTCATCCACAACCTCAACTTCAAAATGCCCTTCCCGATTGACCAGGACTTCTTCGTGTCTCCTTCGTTCCAAGACCTTCTCAACCGGACGCGATCAGGCTCCCCTCTCCACTGGCACAAGACATTGCAGACGTATTACTACCGGCCCGAGTGGGAACTTTTCAGCCTGGCCTCCGATCCGCAGGAGGTGACCAATTTGGCAAACAATCCCTCGTATTCTGGAGTCCTGTCCGAGCTCCAGGCTCGGCTGAACGCCTGGCAGAATTTGACCTCCGACCCGTGGATCTGCGCGCCGTGGGGTGTGTTGGAGTATCAGGGAAGGTACAAATATGACCCCCAGTGTCTTCCTCTCGGGAACGGGATACCTTCTCAACTCGACAACTCGAGAAAGACACCGGCTGTCAGTGTCAGGCTCGTTACCTACGAGTATTCCTCTACCTCTAGATCTTTTATGTTCTGGTTAACCTCTAGTCCAAATTCAATTTTCTTTGACTTTTGCGTGTACGCTTTATTTGTGGGCTTCAGCATTGTTTTCTTTGTCCGTCTTGCTCCTAAAAGAAAACTTGAAGTGAAAATTGGGATAGATCTACCCTCTTCGAAATAGTAGGGGAGCTCTGAGCAAATTTCTGTCTGACCCAATTATTTTAACATCACTTATTTTGACTTATAAATTTATGAGGGCACAATCTAGAATCCCCAACTAGGCCCGTACAGGCTACATTTAAATCTGTTTTATTATACTAATATATGTGCACTTCATAATCATATTTTGATTAGTGTCTGTGGTGTAGTGGTAAGGACCTTGGTTTTTTTCTTGCGAAAGGTGTTAGCTCAATTCCCACTTTGGGAAATTTCATTTTATTCAGGATCTCTCTTTTTTCGGTGAGGGATGCTATATAATATATTATATATATCACACGCAGCCCAGCTGGCCACAACTGGCAGGTTCGAAGCAGCCCACCTCCCTTTTAAATGACCTGAAATGTGTCAAAATGTGGCAAATAGCATAATGTACTCATGTAGATACAAAATCGTAATATTTTAATGTGCCATTTTAGGTGGCTGTTCTCTTTATTGACTCCTCCTATGACCTTTGACTTCTCCAGCAGAGATCAGCTTCATGTTTACTTCTGCTCAGGGTTCTTTGAGTGCTTGTATCATGTATGTGGTGGGTAAGTGAAATTTGACCATATCTCTTCCCCCCCCC